AATTTTTTAACAAGAAGAATTCTCATGTTGATGTTAAAAATTTTCGCAAAACATTGTTGATTTATTTTTGATGGAATGATCTATTATGACATGTCTCTAATTTGTATTTAGATACATTGGATTTAGTTTCAATTTTTCTAGTTGAATTGCTCACCTATATTGCATATGGTCCATTATTTTACATGATTAGGTTACAATAATATTTGTATTTTATATGACTGCAACCTTATGAACTTTGACCTTATGAAAATTGAGAGAGGCGATGCATCTTAGATTTGTGGTGGGGGATCACGTGATCTTTGCATCAGTCCTGCCTGTTTGTAAATGATTTTTATATGAATACCACCTTATGAAAATTGAGAGTGGCGAGTCTCACATCATAGATTTGGAGGAAGATATAAATGGCGGAGCATAAAACCCTTACACTGGCCCTCTGTGAGTATCCACTAAATGTAAATATTATCGAAATGTTTGACTGAACATTGTCATAAACAAAGATGTAATGTGGAACTTCCTCTGGAAAGGAAATTATCAGAGTTTCTTTGGATCTTTCTAAGGAACTTATCTTAGAGAAGACAACATTGGTAGTTGAGCATAATTTAAGATATCAAGAGGATGACATCAGGTTAATTTATTTTGCTCATGCTAAGTCTGGAAAAAAAAAAACTATATAAAATTCACTATTTTTTTTATCCATAATCTTGAATGGGGTAAATTTATTCAATTTTTTAACAAGAAAAATTCTCAAGTTCTATTTTGTAAGAATAATACCTTAAGAAAATTGAGATGGATCAGAGTGGGGATCCCGTATCACAGACTCAGAGGTGCATATGTGTGTAGTGGGTGGAGGGTGATCACGAGGCCCTTGCAGACAGTGTGACACGAATACTGTTTATACTTACTTCCAAACCAGCATAATAGAACCTTCGGTACTTGCAGTGATTTTTGCATCGAGTGAGAGTCATTCTTCGGCTCCTCATGAGCGTTGACGGCATCGCTCTCTGGGATTTGTCAACGAAACAGCCGACATACACTAAAGAGAAAAAAAACATGGAAAATATTAAGGAAAAATGGTAGCAGATTAATTCCAAAGTTGGGTTTAACACCTGAGACACTCAAGTAAAGTTTACTAATCATTGTAACTGAGGGTTACCCTACTTCGCCAAAAACGTCCGTTAGTTGGCGCTATTTAAGTCGATAAAAAGTTAAATATTTCCTTCTCTTTTATTTTTCTTCTTCAGATGTAGTAGAACATAAAAAAAGAACGGCACCACCTGGTTGCATTCACTTCCCTGCTACATTAACTACTGAACTCTGACATACAAGTATATACATGCACGTATTTTTTTTACAGTGTACAAAGCCAGGGGGCCACTCGTGGTAGAGGGTTACGGAGTAAAAGTCAGTTTATAGGAAGGTAACGGTTAACCTTAGACTTAAACAGGTTAAAGTTTTAGTGATCGGGGAAGCATCCTCTTGGGAGTCGATTCCACAATGCAGATTTTGGAATCGTTATATTGCACCCGATTTGAAAGTTGGGGTTTGACAAAATGAATAATGCGACAAAATATTTTTTCCAAATGGTTACTATTTATTGAGCAAATGAGATTAAGTTCAAAATCGTAGCGTTGGAATTTTATTCTGGTGATCAATGAAAGCCTTATAAAATTTATAATTTACTGAAACTTTACAAATTGTATCTGGATAAGATACATGACACAAGTACATTATGACTAAATCATTGTGCCATCAAATAAGACCTTCATTTACTTCAAAGGGAAATTATATTGAACAATTTAGCTATATTATTTTGTAATATACAGTGCAGTAGTTTTAGTCTGATTTTCAATAAACTTGCAATGCAAATTTAAAACAGTTTGTTTTATAATTAATGCCCAGCCGTATTATGGTGTTATATACACGTTTATCTATTTTTTTTTTAATAAAAAATTTTATTCATTGAGTAGCTTTTTTTAAATTTTTTTTACACAGTAATCTTTTTTTAATTTTTTACACAGTTTTTACTTATCGAATACAGTAAAAAAAAAATTGCATATTTTTCTTGTGGTGATTCATAATTAGAATTATCGTTTAAATGCATCTATCAGGTCATCCCATAAGTTCTGTCCGAATTTTGAATAAAGAAAACAAGTGACCAAATGTTACATTTAATTACAGATTCAATCAACAATGTATTTTCCCTGATTATCTATGACTTCCTTCCATCTATTAACAAGCTTACTAATTTCATTACTGTAAAATTCTTTTGGCTTTGATTCGAAGAACTCACAAATGTCTGTTTAACCTCTTCCTGTGTTACAAAAGCTTCTGAATGATTCTGTAATCTACGAAACCAATGGTAGTCTGAAGGAGCAAGATCGGGAGAATAAGGTGGATGAGGAATTTTCTCCCAACCAAGTTCTTCGATCTTTTGTGACGTGATTCTTGCTGTGTGGAGTCGCGCATTGTCCTGATGAAACATCAACCCTTTTCGATTCAC